TGCAACTCTTTCCCAGTCTGATTCAATTTCATACCAGCCAATGACTTTGAGAGAGGTTTGCAGGAGGTGGAAAGGTGAGGAGTCCTACTAAAACTGTATATTTGCGCCCATTAGACGTTTCATACACTGCTGAGTCCCATTGTATCCCTGCAAAATTACTGAATACAGCTAATAAAGAACCTCTTGGAGTTGCACAATTTTTAACGGCAGATATATGTCTTTGTTAGCACCTTGTAAGTTCAAAGTTTCATCAAAACCGGTGTTGATTAGCATAAGATATTTTTGCATTCCCTATTCCCCAATGTTTAGCATTGAATTTATTGGATTCCTAATGTGTGAATCGAGTAATTGACCAACTTCATCTGTTCTATGATGTTTATGCAGGTTAAGCGCATACGAACATCGAAATGTTGACATTTCATCAAATATGCATAATAAGAACAATATTGTCTTTCAAATTATAAGATAAGATGGCTAAAACTGTTAATCGGAAGTCTTGTTCGGGCCCTCAAATTGCACAATGGACTGCTGTTTGGTTCTTTGTTTAGGAGGGAATTGAACTCGCCCACCCGGTGTTGAACTCACAATTTTGTGAGTTTAAAAAAATAGAGTTTGCAACTGTGTCAACTTGATTTCTAGTTTTCTACGAGTAGGCTCATAAAACCACCTGAATTTACAGGTTAACGTTAACAACCATTCACATAAAAATAAAACATGTTTTGAAACAAGATGTGAAGTAGCGAGGAGCTTACATGTTTTTAAGTAAGGTGTCAATTTTAGATCTTGTGAATGTGTTATGAGGTATTTATCTTGTTGATCGAATATACTAGTATTAATTGGAAGTGGTTAGGGATCAATATAATTTTTAAATACAAAGGGTCTTGAAAACAATATGCCTTTATCTCAACAAGATGCAGTGCAACTACATTTCATTTTTTGTTTTTTGTAAAAGTATTGTTCATGTCACCTTATTTTACCTTACAAAATTTTATTGCTTTTTTTGTTTATTTTTCGATTGCAAAACATAATAAACATAAAATATTTTTTTTTTACCAAATAACAAATATCAAGTAATCAATCTAAACCATTCATTTAATAAAAAGTTATATTTGATGACTTTTGCATAATTCTGTATTGCACACATCTGAAACTCTACCTATACGCCACCCAATAGCTCCAGCAATTTGAGTTGAATCACTGATAAAAGTTTAATTAGTTGGAACATGTAAGTTTATTATATTTCATGGCCAAGCCAGTTAAAAGTTGACTTTCAAAAAAGACCGTGACAACTGACATACCAAATCTAACCAAATTAAAAAAATTAAAAAAAACAGTGGAAGGCTCAGAAGGATCCATTGGTAGTTTTATAATCATAAGGGAAAATTCTCTATTCCCTCATAAAATAGGTAGTTCTAATCATCATTGCCTCCAAAACACAAACGAAAAATAGATTGTGGCAAATTGAATTGCGGAGAAGGAGAGGTTATGTTGGGCGAAGAAGCACAGGCAGAACGGAGAATGAACAATTCTGCCGTATATATGAAGAACTTCTTCAGAAGAAGTTATCTTATCAGGGTTAGTGTTTGGGCCTGTTGTGAACAGAAAATAGCCTTGGGCCTCCTACTTATAGGCCTATTAACCCAGTGCTGTACCATTTTCATAAACAGTAATCTATTATATGGCTTTCTAGTAAAAAAAAAAAAATTAAAACAAATACATTAAAAAAGTAAAAAAATTAAACTGATTATTTTATTAATTTTTTTTAAAAAAATAAACACTCAATCTATTGTGAGTTACTTAATGATGTCATATACATATTTTATTTAAATTATGTTTTTGTGCTTTGATTT